TCTGGTTTGATGGTTGGTCTTTGATCCACTTAGACTTGTGGTTTTTGCAGGATGATCTATGTGGATTTATATACATGATACTACACTATTTTATGATCACCATTTGTTGAAGATGGTGCCTGCCTTTTCCAGTGTATATTTCTGGCTTCTTTATTAAAATCCAGTTCTCCATATGTATGTGGAATTATGTCTAGATTTTGCATTAGATCCTATTCATCAGGATATCTGTTTTTTGTGCCAATATCACCCTGTTTCTATCACCATAGTTTCTAGTATAATTTGGGGTCAGGAACTATGATACCTGCAGCATTTCTTTCATTATTCAGAATACTTTTAGCTTACCTGGTCTTTGATTTCTATATAAGATTGAAATTTGTCTTTTCAATTTCAGTGAAAAATTGTATTCAAATTTTCATGTGAATTGCATCAACTGTGTATATTGCTTTTGGGATGAACATTTTGCCTGTATTCATCCTATCAATCTATGAGATAGGGATGTAGTCCATATTCTGATATTTTTTCAATTTCTTTTTTCTAAGTCTTAAAGTTTTTATTTATCATACATGTTTTTCACTTGCTTGGTTACAGTAACCCCATTGTATTACATTCATCTCTATATATTTGAGGCTATTTTTGTAAGGAGGGCTGCTTGTTTGTTCCTGACTGCTTGGCTGCTCAGACTCAAAATTATCACATAGAATCTAAATTATTTAAATCACTGCTTAGCCCATTAACTCTAGTTTCTTACTGGCTAACTCTTATATCTTAATTTAACGCATTTCTTGTAATCTGTGTATTGCTATGTGGCTGTGGTTTACCAGGTAAAGTTCTGGCATCTGTGTCAAGCTGGGCTACATGGCTGCTCTCTCACTCCTTCTTTCTCCCAGCATTCGGTTTACTTTTTCCTACCTACCTCTATTCCCTGTGAAGGCCCAAGACAGTTTTCTTTATTAACCAATAGTATTCACAGCATACAGAGGGGAATCCCACATCAGTCTAGTGTGAAGATTTTGTTTTTCTGTACTCTTTTAGTACATTTGTCATTTGTATAGGAAAAATGAGGTTTCTCATTTTTGTGAGTAAAATTTCTATCTTAGTGTATTGTCAAAGGCATTTTCAGTTGTATGAGTGCTATTAGATTATTTGAAAGCATAGATACTTTGAGTTATTCTTTTCTAAGTTTTACTTACTTGATCTACTTCAATTGTTTTATTGCTCTAGATTAAGCTGCAAGTACTTTATTGAATAGGTATGGAAAGTGGACAAGCTTTCTTTTAAGTTGATATTGGCTGTGGGCCTGCTGTAACCTGCATTTATTATGTTGAGATATATCTTCTATTCATGTATTTCCAATCTCTGCATTCCTTTCTTTTTAAATGAAACAGTGTTGGGTTTTTGTCAAAGGATTTTTTGCATCTAATAAGTTGACGATACATTTATTTTTCTCTCAGTCCACTTATATGGTAGATTGCATTTATCAATTTAAATATTTTGAAGTACCCTGCATCTCCTTCTTGGATTTGGTTTGCCAATATTTTATTGAGAAATTTTACATATATGTTCATAAGGGAAATTGGTATGTTGTTTTCTTTCTTTGTGGGGCTTTTATATGGCTTTGAGTTTCAGGTTACTTGTGACCTCAGAAGATGAATTGGGAAATAGTCCTTCTGTTTCAATTTTGTAGAATAATTTATGGAGTATTTGCTTTAACCCTACTTTGGAAATCTGGTGTAATTTTGTGATAAATTCAAATGATCCTGAGCTATTTTTAGTTTTAAGACTTTAATGAATGCTTCTATTTCTGGAGGGATTATATGTTTGTTTAAATTGCTTACCTGATTTTTATTTTACTTTGGTAACTGAGAAATGTCAAAAAATTATCCATTAGTTTAGATTTTTCTATTTGGTGGAGTAGTGGATTTTTAAAGTATGTCCTCATTATTATCTAGAGTTTTCTAGGTGTCTGTAATTATATTTTCAATTTCATTTCTAATTTTATTAAATTTGGATTCTCTCTCTCGCTCTGCCTTTTTGCTGATTCACTAAACTTGTCAATCTTATTGTTGTTCTCCAACAACCAATTCTTAGTTTCATTGATTTTTTGTATTGTGTTTTTGTTGCTTCATTTATTGCCCTTACCCTTTAATTTGATTCTTTTGACATTTACTCTTTTTGGTGTTATTACTTCTGTTTGTTCTAAAGCTTTCAAATATGCTATGAAGTTACCAGTATGAAATTTCTCAGATTTCTTCATGAAGACACTTGTTGATATGAACTTGTCTATTAGAAAAGCCTATATTTTGTCCCATAACCCTTTGTATTCTTTTTTCATTCAATACTAGGTAGTCTTTAATATCTTTGTCAATATATTTCTCTCTTAACCCATGATTTATTCAATAGTCACTTCTTTGGTTTTCATTGGTTTTGTAAGCTTCTATTGTTTCTGCTATTGTTGATACCAGTTGTAATCTATCAGATCGGATGGATAAAGGGTGGTATTTCAACTTTCTTATGTCTGTTGAGACTTGCTTTGTGTTTGAGTATGTGGTCAAAAGTGGAGAAACTTCCATTAGTTTCTTAGAAGAAGATATATTCTTTTGTAAAGGGTAAAAATTTCTGTAAATATCTGTTGGGTTCTTTTTTTGGTTTAAGATATTAGTTAATTCCAGAATTTCTGTGTTTATTTTTTCTGGATGTTCTGTTTATTAGTGAGTGTACAGCATTGATTTCACCCACTGTATGGTGTGTAAGGGCCAGTTTATAGGGTCAGTATGTGATTTAAGTTGTAGTTGTGTTTGTGAATTGACTTCATGCATAGATGTTAAAAATTTAAATGTCCCCTTGATGGTGATAAACTCGGATTAGAGTAGTATCCCCTATCTCTTCTGTTAGCGTTTGTTTTTAGTCTGTTTTGTCAGATAGTAACTGAATCCATCAACTTTTATCTGGGGTCCATTTCTTGAGATATCTTTTTAAATCCTTTTACCAGGTTGGTGTTAATGTCTATTTCTTGTACTCAGCAGAAGAATGGATTAATTTTTTTGAAGCCATTCGGTGGTCTTTGAGTCTATTTAAATCATTTGTGTTGAGATTTATCAATGAGCAGTGTTTATTGATTCCTGGTTTTGTTTTTGTTTTATGTTGTGGTATTGTCCCTTCTTTTAATTTTCGTCTTAGGTTATTATTTTCCAGTGTTTTTTTAAGGTTTGGTTAACCTGTTCAGATTGAAGCTTTCCCTATAGCACCTACAATAAGACTGGTCTTTAGACAGGTACTGTTTAAATTTAGGCCTGTCATAAAATGTCTTTCTCAATCTATTTTGGTTGACTGCTTTGCTGGACATAGCAGGCTGAGCTACTTTCTTTGTTCCCTTAGTGTTTTTAGAACCAATTTTCAGGCATTTCTGATCTTAAAGCCTCAATTTTGAAGTAATTTATTATTCTAATAGTCCTGTCTTTTTATGTTACTTGGTCTTTTTACTTGCAACCTTTAATATTCATTCTTTGTTCTGCATGCTTAGTGTATTACTTATTATGTGTTGAGGCAGATTTCTTTTCTTTTTCCAACTATTTTGTGTTCTGTATACTTCTTTTACTTTGACAGGTACTTTCTCCTTTAGTTTAGGTTATTTTCTTCTCTGATGTTATGAAATTTTCTTTGTGACATTAACTTCTGTCTCTCCTTCCTTTATTTCAATTATTCTTAGATTTGATCTTTTTCATGGTATTCTAGTTTTTTTTTAGATTTAATATATTCTCTGACTATGGTATCCTTGTTTTTTATATTTTCTCAATTTACTAAGTGTTTTTTTCCTTCTTTTAGAATCTGTTAATAAGACTTTCTCTGAAGTTTATTTTCACGTTCCTAAATTTTGAATTTTCAGCATTTTCTTCCTTTGAGTTTTATTTATAAATCCTATATCTACTCTTTGGTGTTGAATTACTTTATTCATTTTCTTTGAATATTTCTCTATTGACTTCTTTCATTTTTAAGAAATTCTATCATAGTCATAGAAGCTATTTCCAATTCATAGTCTTGGACTTCAGCTATGTTGTACTGATCAGGGCATACATTAGTAGGGTTGATAGGCTCTAGTGGGTGCTTATACATGGTTAATTAATGAATGAGGGACAGTCACAGCCCAATTCAATGCATTTGAGGATCACATGGTGCCACTGCAAAGCAGAGTGGGGACAAGAATTGAAACTGAGTGAATTTGTGGGAAGGGTCCCGATGTTGGGGCAACATCTGTTGGGGTCCATCCTCAATTGGATTAATATGTTTATTTTCCATATGCTTATATTCCCAATCCAGAAGTTTGGGAAAAGGGCAAAAGAGCACTTTAACTTGATACTTTAACTATCAAACAAAGGAATTACCTCTTTAATACTTGAAACATCAAACAACTGTATCTGGAGTTAAGGATATGTTGTTTATGCAGGGAATGCAGCAATCACACCTTGGACCAAGCATCCTGTATGCAGTCATTCCCTGGGTAAAGCCTTCTGTCATATCCTTGAAGGAGCAGGAATAGGCTTGAACTCTCTGACTTTCAGTCAAGTTGGAAGAGATTTTCTCTATGGGCCACCTTAATACACAAAACACCAAACAACAACACCATAAGCCAAGACATTTTGTTTAAAGCCACACCTTAAGTCACTCTCTTGTCAATAGCATTGAAGAAGCAAGAAAACGTGTGAGCTCTCTGACCTGTAGTCAATGTGGAATGGATCCACTTCTATGGACTCCCACATGTGTGTCAGCTAAAAGTGTCAAATCCAGAAATTATCATAGAGTGTTTGAGAGCAAGGTTGCTGCTGGAAAACAGAACACTGAAAGCAAACCACAACAATGCAGAATGCCACCCATCAAGGAGGACCCCCTCACCCTTTCTTCCAGACACCAGCACAACACTCAGTCCCCACTTCAAGGTGAACTGCATGTTTGACCACAATAAAGTCACTGCACAAAAGATAAGAAACTAGAAATGACACTTGAAATTGATTTTAAATGATTTTATTTATACAGGCATTAAGAGTGAAAATAAAGTTGTCTCCGGAATCATAAACTCTCATTAGTCAGAGAACCAGTTATAAAGCTTGTAATTTGAAATATTTGAAAGCTCCCAGAATTCACACTGCAGTGTGGACCATGAGAGACTCAGCAATTTAACACAGTAAGCAAAGGCTGGTCTTTGAAGTTGATGAACCTTCTGGAAATACAGTCTCCTTTCAATCGCTTTCATTTGGTGGTAAGTCTGTTGACACCTCAGGGATTTGGGCAAATGAAACAATTCCACAGTGGTTGTTTCTGTCCTTGGCAATTTTCATGTAGCCATCCATGCCCCAACTTTCTCCCCAGCTGCAAAAGATCATGTTTTTCGTTTAGTAGAAAACTTATCACGTGATGGAATTGTCAAAAGGCCAACCTAACAAAATGATCAGGAAAGGCAGAGGGTCTACTCCTGAGCACCAAGAAGTGCCTCACACAGGAATGTGAAAACCACAGCAGGATACCTTTCTACCATTACATATTTCAGAACTCTCATGTGTGTTACATTATACAAAATCAATGTCACACACATGACATTGATACCCTAGAAACCAATGAAGGGTTGGGAATTTTATGAGAACATACTGTTAGTAAATTCTTGGAACTTTAGGCAACTCAGCAGTTAAAGAGCTAAGATCAGTCACAAGAGCCACACTGGAAAGCCAGATTAACATTATAGTGTGCATGTAAACCTCATTCTTGAGACATACACACAGAACATACCAAGAGAAAGCTGGCAAGCCAGATTGAATTGTGAACTCTTAGATCAGAAAAGAACACTGCCTTAATATAGAAGTTATATAATTATTGAGAAACAACTGATGATGACATCAGACCTCTACACATGTTCACTGGTGCACACATGTCTGCAGACATGCAGACAGTCAAATGCACCTCATCCATGCACATGGGAAAACAAGAACAGATTTTGTTCAACTTAAATGAAACAAAATCTTTTAACTTTATATCAAAATACTGTCTGAAAATTGCAATCTCATCATGAATTTCTTGGACATCCTTCCAGTGTCATTTACCAATGAACCATTTCTCTAGCTCCTGAAATTTCAAATAAAGATTTTTACGACAATTTATACCTGTTCTTGATCAGCCAGTAGTTATTGCCATCTGTTTCATTTCCATCAAATCCATAGCCAACCACCAGAACTGCATGGCTCAAATTATAACGGCTGCAATTTGGTTCATAATAAATGCCTGAGAAATAACAGAGAAACTGATGTGAGATGCACAGGACACCTGGCAGTGACCACAGCCACCAACAATAAAACTATTTCAACAATCAGTGAAATGATACAATCAGACTTGAGCTAGTTAATTGTTCACGAAAATGCTAATACTCACACATGGGGGCACACACAAAAAATTAAACATACAGTTTCACAGAAAACTGAAAATATTCAAAATAGTGAGATTTCTTTAGAGCTACAAACTGCATGCTTACGAAATGACTCCTCGGAACCTTACAGTGTTTCTACTAGTGTCTCATGCCAAGTTAAAATTACAGGACTAAATTATTTAATTTAAAGTCTCTGTTTCAATTCTATCTCAGATAATCAGTTTCTATAAACATCTAAAAGGTTCACGAAAAGAAGAGGCATTGAGAAATTACTTAAGCAATATATTTTATTAAATGGGAAACATTAACGTTTATCTAGCGGTTCATACCAGTTGAAATTCAGTACTCAGGACTATTATATGGAGATGAGTAAAATCTAGAAACTTAACAATTCGTATCACATTTTTACATAGCAGCCAGTCTGAGAACTTGTCATGACATGGAGATGTTCCAATGGCTTTTTCTTTATATCTAGAAGAAAATATTCTAACCTTCACTGTAGAACTTAAAAGAGTCATGGAGAGCATCAATTGCAGCAGCAACAGGCCCTTCAATTGCTACAATATCCATTAGGAGTACTTCAAATGGTAGGATTTCCGTAAATGCTACGACTCTAGCAGATGCATTCTGAGGATTGTACCTGCAGGGTCCATCCTTTAAAAGGTGAAGATATAAGAGTTTCAGTTTCTTCCCTCCATATCCTGGGAGAAATTCACAACCACCACACTCTGCTCTTTGCAATTGAGCACACAAAAACTGGAATATTATAAATCATCCCAGGAAGTGAAACAGTACTGGAATAGCTAGAATTGAAAATAAGTTCTCTTGTCCTCAATGACAACCAATATTTCCTCCTATCCATAAGAATTGTTTTCCGCAGTGTAAGTTGAGAATGTGCTTTCATATCCCAAACCCAGACCCAAATAACCATCTAGAAACTATATTAGTTACATCAATGTTTAACCAATGGCCCAGACAAATTCATAGCTAGCTCTTATATTTTAAATTAACCCATTTCTATGAATCTATATATTGCCACAAAGGTGTGGCTTACCAGTAACGTTCTGACACCTTTGTCCTTCAGCAGCTACTTGTAATCACCTTGACACTGATTTCTCTCTCTCTCTCTCTCTCTCTCTCTCTCTCTCTCTCTCTCTCTCTCTCTTTCTATCTCTGTTTGAATATCTCAACTGGTTTTACTTCACTAAGTCATTGGCCAAACTGATTTATTCATTAAAAAAAATAAAAGTAACACATATAAGGCAGGACATCCTACATCACGGCAGAGACTCTATTATATGTACAAAAAAAATCAATATTCTCTATGTACACAGAAAGGAACTACACTGAAATCACCACACAAAAAATATATGCAAAGGTCGATACTTAATGACTGAAATGAGACTATAGAGAGAGATTCTACATCCAATCTGAGTGCTGAAGATCGTGGATCATATCTACAGTTGTACCTCACTACGTTGAGCTGAACTGACAACATATGATGTCCACTTACTTTTGCTTCATATGGGTAGGTCGCCTCAGCCTCCAAACCTCCATTGATCCAAGCAGACAAAAAGGCATAGTATGTGTTGCCCCAGTCACAGCCATGATTTCCATGAGATTTAGAACAGTCCAGTAGGTTCTGGACACTCAGAGGAATGAGTTTGCCTGTCTTTTTGTACATTTGTCCTTCTATGGCACCAATTGCAGCAAAAGCCCAACAAGAACTGCAGTTACCCTAATGTGAAGAAAATATGGTCTTTCACAAACAAATGCTAAGTCAGGTAACAACATAAACAGGTGAATAATTCATGAAAATGAGGAAATGGCAGTTGACAAATGACTAGAAAGGAGTTGTCAGTTTCCCAGAGGACTTGGATGCTGGTAGTGTGCACATGCTCCTGTGGGCCCACCCACCACCTTTGTGAAAGACCTCTTGCTTTATTAGTTATTAATGACAATAGAAGGGACATGAACTCTACAATGAGATATGGTAGAAGTTCATATCTGGAGAACGTGTTTGGTGGACCGTCAAGATCGGTATACATTGGAAAATATATGAATTCAAAGAAGAAAAAATATTATTAAAAATCTTTCGTCATTCTATAAGAAAACAGAGACACTAAGTTCTTTCCTCTTCAATATGGTTTAAGAAGAAGGGCAGGTGGCACTGTCAAACCTGGAACCGCACAGGGGTCACATATCCTTCTTTTCGCCAATCCACAAATTTCGGTATATGAGTAACAGATCGTTTCCAGATGCCTTTTCCCCTCTCGTGACTTTGCATTGGGAAATCAACCATCATTTTCCTGAATTCTTTATCAGTCTTCAAGAAAGCATACATAAATGATTATAAAAGAAAAGACTCCATGTAAAGCACACAAGAGAACACAGTGTGAAGTAATGCATGTCACACTCACCATGTCACCAAAGGCGTTCATTTTCATGGTGTAGCCATTCTTCCCCTGGCCATTCTCCCCATTGTGAAGTTTAATCATTTTCATGTTCTTTTCCCATACTGTTCTCCTCAGTGCTTCTTCCTCCTGGATAAGAACATAATACGTGACATTTCTTTATAACTAAACTCCTGTACAAGCTGATGTAGATTTGCTGTCCAGGTGATTAGAGTCCCAGGAGTGCTAGTCTAGGACACAACAGTCACACACTCTCCTCATACTGACGAAAGGGAATCTGGCTACCCATTGCTCACAATGGTTGTGATTAAGCAACCTCAGTGGTGGTAATTGTGGTGGGGCATGTATGACCTCTACTATGCCTAGACAGCTGCACTCTGGGGCCCTTCTGGACAGTTTCCAGGATACCAACCAGGCTGTATGATTTTTCATAGAGTATCTTCCAGTCTTCCCATTCAGCATCCAAACTGGGATCAAGTGCCAAAACACGTGACCCAACTCCTAAGCAAAGGATGAACAGGAAGACAGCAGGACTCATAGCTGAAGAGCCTGGATAAGAAAGAGAAATGAAGACATAACTACAGAAATAATTTTATGTCGTCTTACTCCCTCATAATAAATTAATCCATTGTGCTCAATAAAAGTTTTGAATTCTTCTTCCAAATAATTTTTGAGAGACTGCAGAAAAGTTGTAGGATGTGTTTGAACTGAGTCATGAAATGATGATTATTAGATTCTATACAAAATGAAGAGCATGAGCCCTGAATTCTAGCAATGAAAACTTTAGGTGAAATGCATCTTATTACTTCAGAAATGTCTTCACCCGCTGTGAGGAACAGAAGCAAAAACGCTATCATAGTCTAGGATATCATTGTTTATACCAAGCAAAACTTCTATCACATGGTATTGGATTCTACTTTCTAGGTGAGCTTAAGGGTTGGGACGACACGGCATCATAAGCCTTTCTAATATGCATAAAGTACTGGGCTTGACTTTAACCCTCCTTTTTTTAATAAACCATTTTAAAATATCTTCTATAAGAATTTTGGAAGAGTCATTTACTATTCCTTGTGTTCTACCCTTGGAACTGTGAATCATATTCTCAGCTCACAACCTATATCAGAATAGCATCACAGTACAAAAACAACAGGAGGCCAGAACCATGGAGTAGGTGGAGTACAATAGCAAGGTGATAGTGGAATTATTCGATTCTGAACTTGCTGGATCTCTAAAGCAACACTGCCCATAGCACTTGATAGGAACATACCATCTGCAACTACGTCTGTCCATGTGAACTGAAAACAGATCCATTCTGGGGTGTGTGCAAGAGATGATCTCCTCTGGACCAGCAGGTGCCAGTGATGTTTACTGGTATTCAAAGGACCTGGTGTAAATCTCTGTGAGCAGATCCAGACTTTCACATAATGGGACCCCACACAAACAGATCTATAAGGGATCTGGTGCCATCTTTGTCTTTGCTACCTATTCCACTATACCTATACGCACCAGCATTTCTGAGGATTAGACTAGTCTTTGGTATTTATTTGATTTTCCCTGGGGTCTCTCAACCCCCACCCCACAAATACCTGACATTCTGCCTTGGAAAATAATGGTCTTACCTCTCTGTGATGATGGCTACTGCCTTAGTCCACTCCACGGTCTCAACTCCTCAGAGGTTGTTGAGGTTCCAGAGTCTGACACAGCAGTAACTTACCCGTGCTATAAATCTCAAATATCTATCCATTTGATCCCACCCATCAATCATGCTCTCCCTTTGATTGGCTGTGTTACTGACATGAATAATTCTTCAAGCACTAGTACTTCAGGCTCTTTCTGAGAGATAACCTCTCACTCTCCCTCTGGCATGGCTCTGGAATACCTCTCTGGAAAACAGGAACCTGACTTTGTGATCCTTGACAAAGCAAGTTGAATAGCAGTCCTGTAGGCTTTGGATCACAGTGTACTGAGCTTCTTGTTTTCTGAGTACACTTTCTGGAAAAGATGTGTGATGTGCCCTCGCAGTAAGAATGGGCAGCTTTGGTTACCATTCCTGGAAGGAGATAATCAGTGCATACTGTTTTGTGTTTACTCCTCAGTTGGATCCTAGAGGACACAGATTCTTGGGATGCTCTGTTTTCATGTGTCCATGTGTAATACAGTTGGATATCACAAGACATTTAAGAGATATGAACCTCAAAGGGGCAAGTGGTTTTCAAGGTTGAAGTACAGAAAGGAAATAAATGGCAGGCTCTGGCTGTATCTCTTGAAACTCTCTGACTTTTCTCTTTTGGATATTACATGGGCCAGCCATCTAGAAGCGCCATTTACCTGGCATTCTTCATTGTCCCAGCACAGCATCAATTCAAAGTTACTATATTTACTGCTTCAGGACCCATCCTGGTGGGTTAGGGACAGTCACTCACATTGTATTGCAATCAGTACCTGGAGGCATTCAGAATTAAGGGAAATGTTCCAGGCCCAGAAAACATAAGGACTGAGCAAATTTGCCTCCATGGTTCTGTCTTTAAAAAGAGCTTGTGCAATCTCTTTGTGACTTAGGAAGGCGGCACAGGCAAGGCATGTGTCTGAAGCGTCCCTGCCTAGAAATCAATGGAGGTTATCATGTGAAGCTGTGATGGTAAAACCCACATGGTCTTAGAAATAGAAAGATGTTCTATATGCCAGAGTCAGGAGATACCCAATAATGGGTGCTGATAACAGGGTGTGGAACCAATCCAAGGGAGGGAAGTGTGTTGCAGTCAGCAAAGCTAAAGGATTTTGAAGTCTGAAGAATACATCAGACATAGAGATATAGAACTTGAAGTTTTCTCTTCCAGCTTTAGTAGCTCTTTTGGTATAGTATTTTCTTACAATAAACTCTCTCTTTACCTTTGTAATGGCAATATATTACCTGTACCATTGTCTGCTTGAAAGATTTGATCTGCCTTTAAGATTAATTTTACAAGGGATTACAGTTAAGGCATTGACACAAGTATTAGAGACTTTGAACATTGGACTTTTAAAGAGTGTTGAGACTGCCATAGACTATGGATTATTTTTAATTTGGATTGAATGTATTTCTGCATTCTGATGTGGCTATAAGCCCATGGTTCCAGGGAGGGGAATGGGGTGATATTGAAGAGAATATCTCTCCCACAATCTCACAGATTTGGATGCTTGTTCACTGGTGTGGGACAATTCTGTATTCTGTCAATTATGTTTTAAATAAACGCTTCTTTGCCAGTATCCAGGCAGGAATTATTGGCAGGACAGCCAGACAGGGAGTTGAGGTGGGGCAATGAGAGCAGGGGTACTCTGGGAGGAAAGAAGCTTTTTATCCAAGCCTGTCCAGACACTGAAAATCAGGATGTGACCTACCCCACTAAAAAAGGTACTGAGCCATGTAGCTAGCATAGGCAAGAATAATAGCTTAATATAAGTTGTAAGAGTCAACTTATCATTAGCCTGAGCTGATGGGCCCATAGGTTTTTAACTTATGGAGACCTTTGTGTGATTTTTTGGGGGCCTATCTGCTGTGGGAACTGGGCAGAACACAAACCCCCACAAACAGGCCCTCAAATTAGAGTTCACCAGTGAATAAAAGTATCTGAAGGGATTAGGAGGTATAGCTTTGATGGGGGAAATACATCACTGAGAGTTGGTTTTGAGGTTTCAAAAGCACATGCCAAGTCCAGTATCACTCGAATGTAAAATTCTGTTACTTATCTAGTACCATGCCTGCCTGCTTTTATAATGCTGTGCTCCCTGCCATGATAACAATGGTCAATGCCCCTGAAACTGTAAGACCCAATTAACTATCTTCCTTTATAGGTGTCTCCACAGTCATGTCGTCTCTCTGTAATGGCAGAACACTGACTAAGACAGGCCATATGATTATGTAAATGGAGACTGCACTTTCATTTCATGATGGCCCCCACCTAAATAATCACACAGATACTCTATTAAGTACAATACTGTTTGGCTAATTGCTCAGGAATATTCCTTATTTGCTCTTAAGCCATAAATTAACCAAGTTCTATTAATCTATGTATTGCATACTGATTGTAATTTGGCATCATTCTCCTTCAGTAACTACACAGAGTCACCTTAATTCCACTTACACTCTCCATTTATCTGTGATTGTACTTCCTGCCTAGCTGTATTTTAACTGACCATCGGTGAAAAACAGTTTTATTCATCAACTAATAAAAGCAACACATATACCGAAGGACATACCACATCATGATTAAAAACGATGAAAGTCATTCTTAGAACTTGGTTTATTTTTAGTAACATATGATGTCTAGTTGGTTTACTATCTCCTCTATTACAAGAATGATGTTGGTTATTTCACTGAATCAATATATGTGATTGATATCATTTTGGTTTCCAAATGTTAGTCTGCCACTGAATATTTGGATTAAAGACAATTTGGTCATGAAGAATGATCTTTTTGATGTGTCTTTGGATTTTGTTTGTTAGCATTTTATTGAACCATTTTAGACTCCTCGTAGATCATGGAGATAGGTGTCTAATTTTCCTGTGGTTCCTATGAGTTTATATTTTAATTTGGTCCAATGGTAATAAGGAATTCATAAAGATTTCAAAAATTTGTAATGAGAGGCTTTAATGTGAGAGGATATGGGTGTGTGAAGGGCATTATTATTGAGGGAATAAAGCAAAGGCCATTTGCCTGCTCTGTTTTGTGTAATATTTGAGCATTGGTAATGTCAATTTGATAAAGTTCTGTTACAAGTCCCTAGTTAACCATATGGTCCTGGGCTTTTTGGGGGTGATGAGGCAGATATATTTCAGTGAAACATTAGGTATTTCCTGAACCTTACTGCTGAAAGACTCTAAGGATTTTAGGTTTTCTTGTCTCAAATTTGTTAACTCATATATCTAGATATTTAGTTATTTCTATAACAAATACAATATTTTTTTTCAATTTTATGCTTATGTATGTTCTCTTGTTTACTGAAAATAGATTTTTTTCATACAATGTGTCATGATTATGTTTCCTCCTCCATCAATCTTCGCAACTCCTCTTCACATTCACTGACTTTTTGATGCCAGCCTTTCTGTCTCTTGTAGGAAATGTAAGGGACAAAAGGGAACTAAAGTAAAATAAAACATTAGACATAATAAATACAAATAAGAATGGGAAAAATATACAAACCAATAATCAAAACAAAGGAAGCACAGGCCAAAAAATGTGTAAGAAACAGATATGGACTTAGTGGCATAGTCATCCTTTCTTTTGATTACTTGGCAAATACGAATAGATATCCTTCAGATACGTAAATCATTTAGGAAGTTTCTACAGTATTAGGCTGCCATACTAACACTCAAGTGACCCTTAACTTTGACTGCCTTTCTCTGCATTCTCTGTCTCATCCCAGCATGTGTCCTGATCCCCACTTGAGTCTCCTGCTTCACTACCCTGCTCTCGATGACTATTACTATTAATTTTTGTCCTTCCCGAGAAGATTGATCAGTACCCCCAAGTACATTACTTTGTACCTGTCTTCCATATTCTATGGATGGTAACTTGTTTAACATTTACTTCACAGCTAATCACATATAGAAGAAAATATATTATATCTCTCTTTATGGGTCTTAGCTACCACAATAAATATGATTTTTACTTACATCCATTTACTTCTGAGTTTATTTTTGATCAGTCAAGTCGTACTTCATTGTGTAAGTGTCCCCATTTTCTTTGGACCTCCATCCACTGAAAGATACCTCCATTGTTTCACAGTTCTGATATTGTGACTAGACCAGTAATGATCTTGGTTTATCAAGTACCTTTGTGGTAGGATGAAGCATTTTTTTTGTTACATACCCATTGTGGTAGAGCTGAATATTGAGGATGATCGATTCTTAACTTCCTGAAGCATCTTCATACATTTTTCATAGAGGTTTACAAGTTTGCAGTCTTAAAGCAATGTATGACTGCCTGTCCCATTATTCAACATCATCATCAGTATGAACTGCCATCTCTTTTCTTGACCTTAACTATCTGTCTTAGCTGACAGATGGAAAATGAAATCTCAAGGTATTTTTGGTTTGTCTTTCCCTGATGACTAACAGGGCTGAACATTTCTTAGTGTTTCTCAACCACTGAGTTAACTCTTTTTAGAATTCTCTATGTATAGCTGTACCTCAGGTTTAATTGTAAGGAAATCCTTTTTCTTCATTACCAGAAGTATTACACAGTACATCACATCTCATCTATGTGTCTAAACAGAAGAGCTAGTTCACCTTGTACTTTGAATATTTTTAATACTTTATTAATTTTTTCAAAATTTCCACCTCCTCTACTACTCCTATTTCCTTCCCACTTCTTCCTCCCCTCCAGTCCTAAGAGAGGGCAGGGTATCCAGACCTGTGGGAAGTCGACGGCCCTCCTCCCTCCATCCAGGCCTGGGGGGTGACCATCCAAACAGACTAGGATCCCAAAAAACTAGTACATGCAGTAGAATCAAATCCCAGTGTCATTATCATTGCCTTCTCAGTCAGTCCCCATTGTCAGCCACATTCAGAAAGTCTGGTTTGATCACATGCTCTTTCTGTCCCAGTCCAGTTGGTGTTTTTTGAGCTCCCCTTAGATAAGTCACACCGTCTCAGTGGGTGGACAAACCCCTCGTGTTCCTGATTCCTAGTTCATCTTCTCCCTATTTCTGCTCTTCAAAT